GACGAGGTGGCCTTCGGAAACTACTTCCCATTCCCCTTGCTTCGTATTTCTCCACGTAAAATGCGATGGCACCTCTGTTTTAGAGGCATAGTTTTAAAAAGCAAAGCATCGTTGTGGTAATCGAGTTTCCTAGTGAGCGTTAGAGCTAATTACAAGCGTGAACGGCAGATTTCAAGGAGTTTCCCCGTGACTCGTGAATCGGGTTCTGGTGCATTGAGACTCTTCCTGGAGCAGCAGCAGAAGGAGCAGGGCTTCAGACATGCTTCCTCATGTGCCGGCTTGGCAAGGGAGGATGTCTGAGATGGAGGTCTGGTTCCGGGGCTCTCGTGTGTGGCCCTCTTTGGGCTCTGTTGTGAAGTACTTGCCTCGTGCCTTGGATACTTCTATGGAACTAGCTGGAGCTGATCCATTCAGGCTTTGTTCTTTGTGTTTCCTAGGACTCGTTGTTCCTGTTTGCGGACGGAGGTTGGTTCTGAATCTTCCTCTGTTTCCAGGCTTGGATTACACACTATTATCACTACTCTGGCCTCTGATTTTATTTTATTTTTTTAATTGTGATTTTTCGAGATAGGGTTTCTTTGTATAACAGCCCTAGCTGTCCTGAAACTAGCTCTTGTAGACCAGGCTGGGATTAAAGGTGGGTACCACCACCTCCCGGCTGACCTCCGGTTCTTATTTCTGCTACTTTCCTGGTCCTTGATAGAGTGTATGGTACCCTCTGGGCCCTCGACAGGCTAACGGAGGACCGTTTCATCTAACTATCATTTGCCATCACTTTTAATCTGCTGGGTTTTATTTTGTGGTCTTGATTTCCTGTCCTGAGTTTCATACGAAAGAAAGGGGCGGAAAGAAAGGGGCGCACATTTCCCTTACTTTCTGTTCTCTCCCTAACCAACAAGGAAAACGAGACCACAGGTGTCCTTTGTCTTTCACTGCCTTTGTTTTTGAGTTCAAAGGCGATAGGAACATCTGTAAGTCCAGAGATTAAAAGTATTTTACGATGCCCAGCTCCAGAAGCTGTGTGCATGTATGGAGTAGAAAATAGTATTTTAAATATACGAAACAAAAAGCAATATATAGAAAATCCTTCCATCATCACATCAGTACAATTGTAAAAAGAAGATTTTGGTTCTTCTTCTTCTTCTTCTTCTTCTTCTTCTTCTTCTTCTTCTTCTTCTTCTTCTTCTTCTTCTTCTTCTTCTTCTTCTTTTTTTGAGACAGGTTTTTCTGTAGCTTTGGGACCTGTCCTGGAACTAGTTCTTGTAGACCAGGCTGGCCTTGAATTCACAGAGATCCACCTGCCTCTGCCTCCCAAGTACTGGGATTAAAGGTGTGCGCCGCCACCGCCCAGCTGAAGATTTTGTTTTTAATCAATGATTAAAACTGAAAATTTTCTTCTATTAGTAATATCCTGAAAATTAACAGTATATACAACTATGATTATCTCATACATCTCAACCCAAAGCATATTTAAGTTTGTCACAAAAAAGGAAATTTGTTATGTCCTGATATCTGTAGCTTCTACATGAAAGAGACCCCGAGAGTGGTCTCCACAACTTTGCCAGTATTCCTACATATTTATACCACATTAACAATAACATGTTACGACATCCAGAGTTCAAGGGACCAATAAGTGAAAACTCATGGATTACGTCACAGGATAAAATAAATTCTTTCTATTTTCTTTTCAGAAAAATGATATCCCCAAATTGATCTGCTATGAGGAGCGGATGGAAGATTCTACAGCCAAGAAGTCAGGGCAATGCTTAGGAGAATATTTCATGAAGTGAATCAGTTGGAAAATTATTGTTTGGCGTTTATTTGTGGTATCTGTGGTATGTGGTGGCTTTATGAAATTTGTGATTTGGTGTGGGATTTCTTTTTGTTTTTAGGATGGTGTGGGATTTCTTTTTTCAAAAAATATTAAACATTCAATTTCATAATCTTAGTTAAAGAGATCCTTCATGTTTGTGGATGCTTACAGATTCTGGAACTGTTCCTAAAGGGAGCTGCCTGGCCCATAACTTAATTGACAGTGGTCGCCCATGAGTATTTGGGCACATCTGTGGGAAAGTGTTCTGCAGGTGGATAGTTGTTGAACAAAACAAAAATTAAGAAATGCTTTTCTTTGTTGTGTTGAGACAATGTTTCTCGATGTAGCCTACGTTGGCCACACAGATGGTTCTGTCTAGGCCTCTGGAGTACTGTGACTACAGATGCGCTCACCATGCCTTGCAGAACCATTGCTCTGGGTAGGAGAAACAAAGAGATTACCAGTACTCAAACTTAGCGTTTATCATTTTGATGCATTTACTTGTATGCTTACATCACTGCTGATGGAAAACTATACCAAAACTTTATTTCTTAAAACACAACTATTATTTCATCATATTTTACTAAATCTCCCTTATTTCAGAGGACAAGACTGAAAGGTAACTATTTGCTGACTCTATAAGCAGGCAGTGGCATTACCTGACTCTGTGTTTGATTAAGTGAAGAACTACCGGGAGAGGAGGGATTTATACTCTACTACAGTTGAAGACAGATCTTAAGGATGCTGGGCAAGAGGGGACATGGCATTAAAGTGGGACAGAATATTGGGGTGTAGGTGAGATTTAGCTACTAACGTACAGCGTTGAGACTCCTTTGGTGGGAGTGAAACCAAGAATCGAATAGGCTGCAAGGACAACAGATGCTAAGGGCTTCATGGAGGTGGAGCGATTCTGCTACCAGCAGCGCAGTAAATTCTTCAGAGTTAATTACATTTGGGTTTGAGATAGGAAGACTGGGCTGTTCTGCAGTTGTGAAGTATATTGGCTATAATACATGAATGCAGATCTCTATCAATGATAAGAGACACAGATCTGTAGTTCCCTGTGAAGTCTGAGTTTCCCACCAACTTCAAAGGCATTCCCTAGGCAGACTGGCTGTGGGAATACGTTAGGTATGTCAGCAGGGTAGTCTGAAGTAGAGACCTTTCAGTCTCCTGTTCTCATAGGAGGTGAGAGCCCACGACAATGTTCACTTCATGCCACAAGCACCATATTCTGTGTTATAGTGGCTATTTCCACTCGTTTATTATTTTTGAAAAAAGTGTTACGGAGTATGATACAGTTCCTAAAAGGTCCTGCCAGCAATATTTTGTATAAAGACCGTGGCTTAAAAGCCATTCTGGTATGTACTCTTCAGAAATACTCAAGTGTGTCTAACGGATGGATTTGGAGTTTTGATGTTATCTCTACCAAACTTTATACTTAAAGATTTAAACCATTAATTATGTGTTGTGTGTCCCATGGTACACACGTGCAGGTCAGCAACAGCTTTCGAGAGTTGGTTCTCTCCTCTCCTTTACCATGGGTTTGGGGGACTGAATCCGAGTATTCAGGTTTGTGTGGCAAGTGCTTTTACCCGCTTGAGCGTCCTGCCGGTCTAAACTGCAATACTAGTAACTGCGAGATCCTTTAGGAGTCTACAGAAGTGGATGCTCCCCATTCCACTCAAGAGAGTGCTTCCCATGGATGCCTTCAGTCTGGACTTCATTTGCTCCAGCTGTCTGAAACAGTCTGGTAGGTAACCAGAATCCATGCAGCCAGCTGTCAAGGGCCCTGAATGAATGGCTCTTATGAGTATAGACTTTGTAGTCTGTGTTATTCAGAGGTCATAACATGTTTAAAGACACAGGCAATCCAAACAGACAGAAACGGTTGGCACCTCAGCTCCTCAGCTTACTACTTGAACATGGTCTGCAGCCTTTTAAGCTTCAGTGTCCTCCTTCGTCAAAGGCTGAGTATGATGCCCATAGTTCTGTCTGAAAAAATAACCCTGATGGTTCTCACGTATCGACATGTGTCAGCCCTGGGCCAAACGCTTTATTTATATTACCTGTGATGACAATAAAAGCTGCTGGGTAGAGGCCTTCAGGGCAGAGGAACTGAAGGAGGTTAATTATCTTTTCAAGTGCATAAGCCAAGGGGCAGAGCTGCAGTTCTTTTCACTGTGTTGAGTGACTAGATTCCCATTTACTTATGTGAAACTTGTGTGTCTCAGTTTAAGGCATTGCACCTCAAGACGAATATGGGTTGGAGGAATCATTGACTTCCTCTTGCATTTATGAAGGACAGTGCTCCCTCGTTCTGGACAAAAATGGACTCCCACGTCTTAGAAGCAGTGGGTGGAAAACACTCTATTCATAGTGTCTGTAAATCCTAGTCTCCGGCGGAGGCCCCGTTCCTGTGCCCCTTGAACCTTGAACTCTCCTCGAGGAGGGTCAAGGTAGCCCACCAAACCTTGACCCCTTCCCAGAAAAGGTCAAGACCACTCCCCCAGGCTATTTAAACTGCCCCCCCCCAAATAAACACGTATGCCCCCAACCCCCACCATGTCACCTTGGCGGCTTTCCGGTTCCCCTAGGGGCCACCCAAGAGCTCAGGAGTCCATCTAAACCTGGATATCTTTTAATTTGGTTTGATTTGATTTGATTTGATTGGGATTGTTTTGCTTCGGCAAAGAGCTCATGTTAGAAAATATTCCTAACAGTGTCCTGTTAGGAATGGCCTCAAGAAACCCTTCACGCAGCCGGGCGGTGTTGGCACACGCCTTTAATCCCAGCACTCGGGAGGCAGAGGCAGGCGGATCTCTGTGATTTTGAGGCCAGCCTGGTCTACAAGAGCTAGTTCCAGGACAGGCTCCAAAACTACAGAGAAACCCTGTCTCAAAAATAAAAAAAAAAAAAAAAAAAAGAAAGAAAGGAAAGAAAAAAGAAACCCTTCACGCTCTAGACTGAATCTCCAGGGTGGTGCTACTGAGAGGTGGGAGCCTTTAAGAGATGGGACTTAGTGTATATGTGGGGGGAATTAAAGATCCCTAAAGAGACCACGGGGCCTGGCCCTTAGGGGATGTGGAATTCCGGTCCTCTCCTCTCTGTGTTTACTCTTGAATTATGATGAGGAGAGTGGTCTTGCTCACTCACACTTTTTGAAATTGCCATTGGCCACCGCACCAGATACCTAGAAACAATGAGTCAGCCTGATCATGGGCTAGAATCTCCAAATCCTTTGAGCCCAAATGACCCTTGTCTTTATCCGTAGTTTACTTCAGCTATTTGTTACAGTAACAAAAAGCTAAGAAACACGAAGGCTTGGTTTATTTCCACATCTACTCCAGCAGGAACTGCAATTTCCCTCTGCACCTATGGGAAATTTCCTGCCTGGCTACTCCATGAAAAGTTCAGTCCCCAAAGAAGCCTTTTGTGAGGCCAATCAGCTTACTAGAAACAGTCATTGTTTGGTTTCTGGGATTAATCAGTAATCATCTGGGCGCTGAGGTCAAGGGAAGTCCCTTACTGAGTCCTTTGTGAGAAAGCCAGTGATTAGGCCAAGTGTGTGGTTTCCCATGCTCTGAATTCTACCTGTCCCCAAGGTCGTGCCCTAACAGCCTGGTTCTGCTTGTCTTCTGGGCTGCGAAGTGGCTCTGCTAACGTGCAGAGCTCCACGTGTCCCGGGAAGCAGCGGCTTCACTTCCTGTATGCCATTCTTGCACGCGTCTCCAGGAGCCACAGCTTGCAAGCATGGACGGCTGCAGTTCCTCCAGAAACCCCATCCTAGCAAAGGTCCCCAGGTCTCCCGAGAATCCAGTTGCCCCTAACACGGAGAGAGCAAGTTAACTTATTTGAATAACAGCAATATCTAATACTTTTACTATCCTGGACATTTGTTTATATTTTTCTGCCGATTCTCCTAGCCCAACCCTGCCTCATCTGTCTGATAGACTCCTTATCAAAGGAACATTTTCCACGAACACTATCCAAATCTTTACATCCTACAAGGAGAATCTTTCCGTTTTTCGTTTCCCCACCTTTCCCTTTTCTTCTTCCTTCAGTTCCTCCCTCGCCTCCTCTTTCTTTCTGCAAGGCCTTCTGCAACCAAAGCCAGCCTTATGTATGTGGTAATTACCTCGTCTGACCCCCTGCCTCATCACCCTGAGTACTGGGATTGCAGATGTGAGCTACCAGGCTTGGTTTATGTTGTGCTGGGTTTGGAGCCTAGGGCTCTGTTCCCTGTTCTGGAAGAGTCTTCCTATCTTACATCATCTTCTGAAGGTCAACAAGATGTTAGGGCAAGACCTAATTGGTCCTTTACTCTCATCTTCCTCAGAAGTGGCAGGAGAAGGTTTTCTTTAGGAATAATGGCCCCCTTTGGTGGACAGTCCATATATAAACAATAATACAGGTTTATTATTTAGAGATTGGGTATATTATGTGGTCCTGGCTGACCTTGAACTACTGTCCTTCTGTCCTTCTTCCAAGTGTTAGGATTATATATTACAGACAGGAGTCACATGCCTAGCTTCTCTCTCTCTCTCTCTCTCTCTCTCTCTCTCTCTCTCTCTCTCTCACACACACACACACACACATATTCAAAAAGATTTATTTTTATTTTATGTTTATGTGTGTGTGTGTGTGTGTGTGTGTGTGTGCGCCTGAGTGATGTGCAAGCACCGTACATGTGTAGGTATCTGCAGAGGCTAGAAGAGGACACTGGATCCCCTAGAACTGGAGCTATAGGCAGTTGTGATGTGAGAGGAGGGATCTGAACCTGGGTCCTCTGCGAAACAGCAAATACTCTTAATCACTGAGCCATCTCTCTAGTTCCCTATATATGCATATTTTTAAAAATTAAAGTCTGAATCATCTTGATTTAGGTGTAGTGACCACAGAATGTAAAGGGAATAGGTTTGGGGTTCAAGATAAGTGGGGGAGCAAAAAGAGATTTCTTAACAGAATATTGAAAGAAAAAAAACAGAGAGATGCAGGGAGTGGTATGGAGGGGTAAAAGGGACAAGGGTGAGGGAGAGAGAGGGAGGGGAAGAAAACACAAGGGGTCGCAGAAGCCAGGATTAACAGAATTAGATTCCTTAGTTAACAGTGAGGAGAAACTCATGCAGCCTCTTATCATACCGGATGTCTGTATCAGTCAAGAAAATTTACCCTGAACAGCAGAGGTTGAGCTGACATGGGCGAGATTCCAGGTTAGAATGTACTCCGATAGCTAAGTGTTGCTAACTGTATCAACTTTAATTTAGCAAAAGCTATGCCTTTATTTTGACATTAGAAATACTTCCTAAAAGTCTGAATTTTTAACTGTCCTGTGAATGAGCACCGTCTTTATTATGAGCGCCTCTCATCTACCTAGTAATTGACAGTAGATAGACCATTTTGGAACCATCCTTTCAAGGCTCCTCTCCCTCTCTCATTTTCTTTGCCTTCTTTTTTGAAGAGCATCATGTTCTTGGGGATAATAACATCCCATTAAAGGGAGCTCTCCAAACTGTACTTCACAAAGACAGAGCAATACAGCTTCACAAGTCGGTGAAGAGCCTGCCACAAAGGAGAGGGAATGTTTATTGCCTTTGGATTATGTTGGTTCTGATTTCAGAATATATACCTATTCACAGTTATACTTTTATGTATATTAGAAATCTGGAATCCATATCAACACCTGAAATTAAATCCACTCCATAGGAGTCACCTAGCCTTCCCTCTTTGTAAGGTGTAAAAGGTTGAGAGACATTAAAAGATAATTTGACAATGCAAAATAAAATAGAAAGTAAATTAGGTACAACATTTTGGACTCATCAAGATAGGATATAGAGTATTTTCTCTGAATTTGTCAAATGCAAATGGACTAGACATGGTTAATGTATTTATTGCCTGTGTAAACTGTACATAGTTATTGTACTTATTGCATAGAATTTTTCTTATATTAGTTATAATTTTTTTATTTTAGACAAGAAGGAGAAATATAGTGGTATATTGTGTTTTAATAAATAAAGCTTGCCTGAAGGTCAGTGCAAAGCAGCCACACTAGTTAGTCACAGAGGCCAGGTGGTGGTGGTGGACGCCTTTAATCCCAGCACTAGAGAGGAATATGAAGTGGGAGGAGACACGTCTCACCGTCAGTCTCCATCGGAGGACTCCTGGAGGCAGGACCGCCTATTTCTGTCTGAGGTAGAGATAAGAGCCTATGGCCAGCTGCTTTGCTTTTCCGATCTTCAGTTCCAACTCCAGTATCTGTCTCTGGGTTTTGAGTTAATTGTGCTACAGATGTTTGTGTACTGTGTTATTTCTGCTCTTCACACTGAGCATACTGAATATGTATGCTTTTCTGTAATCCCCCCCCCTTTTTCCCATGTAAGAATTTCTCTTGGAAGTCACTCCAGATCAATTTACAGAGATCTTAATTTTTTTTCCATCTAAGAGCTTCAAAGTGATCATGATGAGTATTTACTATAGTTTCCCTAGTTTAGGCATCTAGTTTCCACTCTTGCAGCTGCAGGGCCATGGCAATGGGCGACCTTGGGCATAACATTACGTGTTGTTGGGCATTCCAATCTTAACAGCTGGTGCTCAGAAATGGCGTTGGTGCGCTGATGGGGAAGCCATACATATTTGTGGCTGCTGCAAATTCTTTTGCATAGGGTTCCGCGGCTTTGCATTCATCAGCGATGTGCCGGAAGAGTGTTCTCCACGTGTGTGCTGGCAATGTGTAATCATAAGCTTTTGAAGTTGTGTGTGAAGTAGACTATTTGTCATTTTAATCTATTTCTCATATGAATAAAAGAGGACATTTTTATATGTTTAAGGGACTTTATGGATGTCTTCTGCCCATTTTCCGTTATATTTGTTTGCTTGCTTGTTTTCCAGAGCTGAAGACCAAACCCAGGGCCCCGCACTTGCTAGGCAAGCTCTCTACCACTGAGCTAAATCCCCAACCTCCTTCTGCCCGTTTTTTTTTTTTTTTTTTTTTTTTAAAGTATTTTTTTTTTTCAAATATCTATTTATTTATTTATTATGTATACAATATTTTGTCTGTGTGTATGCCTGCAGGCCAGAAGAGGGCACCAGACCTCATCACAGGTGGTTGTGAGTTACCATGTGGTTGCTGGGAATTGAACTCAGGACCTTTGGAAGAGCAGGCAATGCTCTTAACCTCTGAGCCATCTCTCCAGCCCCGTTTTTTTTTAAAATCCTATGTAATTAAAAAGATCCAATTTGCCTATATGGCAGTATATCTTTTGATAGGACATGCTAATTGAAGGCAGAACCACAGAATCTTTGTGGACTAGCCACGAGTTGCACCCTGTAGACACCCTCAGTCTGTAAGCAGGGCACTGGGGCAGTGGCGATGATCTTAGGAGGTGCCGGTGTGCCGCTGTTTACCTTCCTATACTACATCTGCCTCCAAGGCAGGTCAGCTCACACCTGCTGCACTGCGAGGGCCACCTACCAGAAGACAGTGGTGACAGAACTTACCTTTCAGGATTATTGTCTGGATCCAATGACTTGATGCGTCAAGTCCCTTACACAGTGGCAGGAACGGCAGGCTTTCCATAAATGTTCTGTTTATAGTCAACATCAGATTCTCAGTGTGTTGATTTGATCCCATGAGAGTGCCGTCATCTAGCATCCTGGAACCTGGAATCGGTAGGGGACTCACAATTTTAATTCAGTCTTTCATTAATGAACTCATCCGATCACTCCACGAACAGCTATGGAGGATCTGCTGCTGGCCACGCACTGGTCTAGACGCTGCAGACACCGCAGCAAGACTGACTTTGAACTCTTGCCACTTGCTCTTTGGTGGTAGAGGAGATGTGCACCTGTTTTTATCACTTGCGTCTTCAATATCCCAGAGCAAGATTAATGCATGCATCAAAGAATGGAGGAGCAGAGACTGATGGGAGAATGAGGCCGAGAAATGGGGAGGAACATGGCGGGTCCAGACTGTAAGGACAGCTTGTCAAGGACAGCTTGGACTTCATTCCGAGTTGGGAAACTGTGAGATCTTTGTGGATGAGAACTCTCAAGCCCGTGGCTGGGCGAATCCGCTGGAGGGGCACCGATCTGTGCTGGTGAGAGTAGGGAGGATGAGGAGGGTGTGAGCGAACAGCAGGCTGGCTGTGGTGCTGGAGAGGAACGGAGTTAAGGGGAGACTCAGGAGTCGTAACTGACGATACAAGATGGGTCAGGAGGAAAGCGGAGGAGACAAGTGTAGGAACCCACATTAGTGGATCCGTGCCATCTTGACTAAAGGTCAGAGTTCAGACCTAGTCTTGCTTCTTCAAGGTTACTGACAGGAGATTTGTGGTGTGGCTCCTAACAGGATGTCTTGACCTCTGGTGTGGTTACTTGGTGTTTGGGGTATTAAGATGGTAATCACTTTGTTCCTTGTGTCGTGGTAGAAGAAAGTCTCGCTTTCTCCCCGCCCCCCCTTTTTTGAATTGGGGCATTTAAAGATCATAAGAAATAAGCATGGGCGGATTCAGTATTCACTGGGTTGCCCTTCTGACTCTATCCTATGTCTCTGTATTTTGTTATTTTATATTCTGCCTAACATTTCCAATCCACACGCCCCTACCTTGGAATGTACGAACTCATCGAGGCTGGACCCTGACATATAAGAGCAGGAATGAAGTCTGGAATGCATCTCTCTTGGGTTTGAAGTTGAAGAGAGCTAGCTAAATGGAAGGTGGCTTTTAAAATTTGAATTCTAGGTGACCATTAGGTTTCTCTATGTTTACTGGAGTTAGAAGGTGTGGGTCTATCTAGGGCACTGCAGATTTCAGTGTCTGATGGTAGGACTCCCTTGCCGACCAATAGGCAAGCAGCATAGCTTTGGGGCTGCCTAACTTTCCTAGGACATCTGATAGGGCACACTCAGTGCCATGTAACCGTCAGCAGTAAACGGGAGCTTAGTCTTTGAAGGCATAAGTACTCAACTTGGCATCTTCCAAGCCCACACTGTTAAAATAGATATCAGAAAGGAGAATTATGAAAGCAAATCCAAAGCTGGGTGTGGTGGTAAACGCCTTTAATCCCAGCACTGGTAGGCAGAGGCAGGCAGATTTCTACAAAGCAGGGTCCAGGACTGTTAGGGCTGTTACACAAAGAAACCCTGTCTCAAGAAAGCCAAACACACACACACACACACACACACACACACACACACACACACACACACAGAGAGAGAGAGAGAGAGAGAGAGAGAGAGAGAGAGAGAGCAAGTAAATCTTTAGGCTGCTCCTGGAACATGAATCAGGCCGCAGGGATTTAGTACAGAAAGAGTTTACAATCTGTTACCCCAAAGACAGAGAACAGGTGATTTAATAATCTCCGGACAGGCTGGAGACGGTGGTGGAGCACGCCTTTAATCCCAGCACTCGGGAGGCAGGGGCAGGCGGATCTCTGAGTTCGAGGCCAGCCTGGTCTACAGAATGAGCTCCAGGACAGCCAGGGCTACCTTGCAGGAGTGAGGGGTGGGGGTAGGGAGGAATCCCCAGCAGTCTAATAAAAAGTCCTTGCAAATGCTGATGACAATTAGTGCTTTTTTATAGAGACCTCATGGGATTAAAGGTTGGGAAGTCTAGGCTTAAGAGATCTGGACAAGACAGACATTTGGAAACCTGGGCTTCTTTCTTTACCATAGAAAAGGAATTTCTGATGCCACCGTGGATGTGGTAAAAATCCATGAGACTAGGAGCCATCTTCCACAGACGCCTCCACAGGTTGACATTGCCGTTATAAAGTTAATCGAACTTCCTACATGATGTCACTGGATTCCACAAGAAGGTTTATTTCAGTTAGAAAAGGACCTGTTGGAATCCATTCTCTCACCATCAGAGCGCTTTCCCCGCCCCCCCCCCCCACCAGACATGTATAGTTGAGAGGGCAAAGTAGTCTCTCAGAAGCATATGGGGAGCTAATGCAAACGAATTGTAGAATAGGGGTGGGAAGAGGAACGTTCTCTGTGCAGGGCAAAGAAAATATCAAGAGACGCCAGGCACTAGTGACAGTTGGCACGGGAGAGGGTTGGGGATAAGAAGGAGGGAAGGGAAAGCATGCGAACGCAACCTCACGTGCAGGGCACGAGTCCACATCAGAGCTGTTAAGAGAACTGGGAAAGGGGGGACTTGGTTCTCCGAAGATGCCTTCTCCGCCCTGCGGCAAGGGGGTGTGGTACCGAGCCCGAGAAGGTGGGGGCAGGAGACAGTGGCGCAGGCCACAGCGGGTCCCCCACGTCTTCCTAAAGCTTGAGAGCAGCGGAGCGGGGGAGCAGGCTGGCTGGGCGGAGGCGGGGCGAGGGCGAGGATGGGCGTGGCGGGGGCGCGCAGGGCGGTGCAGGCCGAGGGCGGCGCTAGGACCCACAGGCCGCCCCGCCGGCTCCCGGGAGGTTGATAAAGCGGCGGCGGCGTTTGACGTCAGTGGGGAGTTAATTTTAAATCGGTACAAGATGGCGGAGGGGGACGAGGCAGCGCGAAGGCAGCAGCAGCACCAGGGGCTGAGGCGCCGGCGGCAGACTAGCGACCCGAGCGTCGGGGTGAACCACGTCTCGTCCACGACCTCCCTAGGTACGGGCCGGTAGGGCCGAGGCCACGGGGGCCGGGTGTCCGGGAGGCCGCGGCCGCTCGGGCTGGCGAGCACCGCGCGCCCGGCGGGGTCGAAGTCAGCGGCTGGCCGGGCTCCGTTCTCGCCGCCGCGGTCCCTCGCAGGGCCTAGCCTCAGCCGTGCCCCGCGCCCGCCCGCCCGCTCTCGCGCGCGGCCTGAGAGGGCGGCTCACGGGCCTCAGCTCTCCCAGCTGGCGGGTGAACGGGCGGCCCGGCCCCCTGCCCGCCGCGTGGCTGCTGCCGCGTCCGCCCCGACCCAAGGGGGCGGCCTCGAGTCGGGGCCGCGGGGCCGGGACGCCCCGAGGTCGGTCACCCGGCGGGCACTCGCTGCCTTGGGTGCCACGCGCGGGCCGGGGAAGGGAGGGAAGAGCGGGACGCGTGGGTCCCCGCGGTGGTGGTGGTGGTGGCGGTGGCGGCGGCGGCGGAGGACGCGGGAACCGCTGGCACCTGGCTGCCAGGTCGCGGTGCTCGCCACACACACCCTTGCCGGTGGGAGCCGCAGTCCGCAGGCCAGGGCTGTGGCCCGGGCTCAGGTTCCCGAGCTCTTCGATCCTCCCTACCCGTGCGCTGGAGTTGCGCTTGGCCGGGCTTCCAAGTGTTGGCTTAGGTTGTCAAACCGGGGTTAGGAACCCTGGGGCTGTTAGTCTTTGGCTTCTGGCTGGAAAGTGGCTGGTGTGAAGTCACCTGATCTGTCGCTCCCGGGTTTTGCTGAATGTGAGCTCCTACTGTACGTGTCCACGGCTCCCCTACCCCCTCGAAGACGCAGTTTCTGCTCTCACTCACAGCGCCCTTATTTTTAGGAGTTTAGCATTTGATCTTTCACCTTGGTGTGACTTGAACGCACGAAGTCCTTATTGAGAATTGTGATGGTGGGTAAAGGCATAAAGTTTTTAAAAGGCGTATCAATTAGTAAAGCTGACGATTAGAGACGTGAGGTCAAGATAAGAGTATAGTAAACACACTGAGTACGAGATTGCGTTCATATTTCCTTTTCCACGATCTGATAGAGGTTTTACTGGGTGAAACTTAAAACATTGTGATTAAATATTAACCACAGGCATTTATAGACAACTTTAGCTTACACTTCATATGTGGTAGCTCTTGGACATATGTCAGAGGTGAGGATTGATTAGAATTTGTCTATGAGGAAAAAAATGTTAAAAAATGTTACCTGTCAACTACAAACACTTGCCATAACTGTTTACAGGAGTAGCCCTTTGTCCTTAAATACTCCCGGAGAGACTTTTACTTACTTTAGGTGGCTGATGGTTGCATTTAAGTATTTGTCCTGGAATATCGGTGTGTGTGTGTGTGTGTGTGTGTGTGTGTGTGTGTAACATTTTGAGATGTAGTGTCAAAAACACTTTATTAGGAAAAGCATCCATGGTTAAGAGCATGTTTTTATGCTTTGGACACTGAGAAGGGTAAGAAAGATCCTTGGGACTGTTGATAAATAGTGCTTGCCCAACATTTATGAAATGTTCTTGTCTCTTGCTCAGAGATTTCGGCCTTTCTTTTGGAGCCCGTGTGTGTGTGTGTGTGTGTGTGTGTGTGTGTGTGTGTGTGTGTGTGTGTGTAAGACTTTCACTGAGTAGCCTGACTTCCTAAGACATTCCCAGCACCTGCTAATTTGTTTCTGAGTCACCTCTTACTGTATTTCAGACCAAATAGACTTGTTAGGATTTGTGTCGAAGGTAGGAGCAAACAGACTGCCAATTCCTAAGGGATTCCTTTATTTTGGTGATGTCGAAACTTCCTCCTCCCTGTGCTTTTTAGAGCAGCAAGCTGAGGAATTGAGTTTAAAGTTAAAGAAGTGAGTTGGGGTGAGTCAGGTGTCCCTTTAGCGGCACAGTCTTGGGAAGATGCTCTGTTCCTCTAAGAGAGATGCTTGGGTTTTAAGGAGTTTAGGATCTCTAGAAAACACACTCCTTTGAGAATTGAGGATGTTTCAGAATTTATCCACCATGAAATATAAACTTTAGGGATTTCATAAAGTTAATAGACAATTAAAATAGAATTTATGTACAAGGAACTTAGTATTTCAAAGCTTCTGGTGTTGATGGCCTCATATCTCACTTCGATGAAGACAGGAACCTGTGTTATGTTAAGCACACAGTTAGCAACTGGTGAAGTCACATAGTCACTCCTTGGTTTACCATAGTTGGGAAAATATTAAATGGGAAATTTAATAAATAAGTGACCATACATTTTAAGTTTTGTGTTTGCGTGAACTCATGAAAAAAAAGATCAACCCCAGATCATTCTCCACCCCCAGTGTGTTGAAGATCAAACCGAGGGTTTTCCAAATATTAGGCAAGTGCAGTATGTTACAGCCTACCTCCTGAGTGGATTTAGGATGCAGCACTCAATGAAAAAGTATTATTGACCCTTAAAGTTGATAGGAGTCTAGGATTGTGTAGGTGAGATCAGTCTGTTAGAGTGCTTTTGAACTTCTGTGGAATTGTTTTTATGGGGAGGGGAAGAAGAAGCTACTCTACAGCAAAGGGGTGTTTATTATGGAGAAAATGAGGTCGTAGCTGTAGGCCGAGTCCACATATGTATACAGTTTTTCAGGATTTTTTTTTCAAAGATTTATTTTAAAAGGGGTGTGTGTGTGTGTGTGTGTGTGTGTGTGTGTAGATGCACCTGAATACAGGTTCGAGGTGTCAGATCCCCTGGAGATGGAGGAGGTGATTATGAGCCACTTCATGCTGGTGCTAGAACTGAGCATGGGTCTCTGGAAGAGTATGCTGTCTTCAGCACTGAACAATCTCTCCAGCCTTTCTTTTTTTGGTGTGACTTCGTTATAACTTTGGTAGTTCCCCAAAATGACTGTTTTGAAGTTGTTAGACCTTTTCCGAGATCATGCCCTTCTGCAGCTGGTACCAGGTGGCTCCCAAGGGTGACAGAAAGGCAACCAGTGTGATGATGCTAGAGTTGACACGTTTTGAACTGTGACACATATTTGCAAATTCTTGTTTATGAGTGATCTGCTTGACAATCACATGCGAGTAAAGCGTTTTTCAGGCCAGCTCTCAAAGTTAATAGCCAGAAAGGTTGGGCAGAGGTAGATTTTTTTTAAAATGTTCATTTAGTTACTTTATAAGGAGAGCTTTCTCTGGGGAAGATACAGAGAAACAATTTTAATCTCTTTTTTCCTCATCCTATGCAGTAGTACCCTGCTATTGTAGCCATTTGAGGTTTTTAAAGGCCACGTGTGTTATTTCATAGACATTGGCATTTTTTTAACCTTAAGATGTGACCATAGAATAACTGATTTGATCCCACGATGAACTCATTTCTGATGCTTTGTCTTATCTCTTAGTCTCTTTTGCCACCAAGAAATGGAACAGTTGAAGGCTTTCTCTATTGTTGTAAAAGTGTTTAATCAGAAAAATCAGCCGGGCGGTGGTGGCGCACACCTTCTCTGAGTTCGAGGCCAGCCTGGTCTACAAGAGCTAGTTCCAGGACAGGAACCAAAAGCTACGGAGAAACCCTGTTTCGAAAATCCAAAAAAGAAAAATCACCAACCTGAAAATTTGATTACAACCAGGTACTATTTGGTTCTTAACAAAGCACTTTGCCCCCAGCATTTTATTTCTTAAAGTCCCCTTTTTGGGGAGGGAGTTAAGTCACTGTTCGCACTGGAGAGAGAGTGTACTGTTTCTCCAGTCACAGAAATTTCTCAGGTACTTGATTCATTACTCCCATGTTTAAAGAGGTAGGGTAGGGGCTTTTCACTGGGTTGCTACATGTGATTAGAGATGGCTGAATAAATGAAGTTTAAAATGCTAACTGGGAAGGCGGACAGAAGGCAGTATACAAGGGAAAGTGCGGACAATTCGCTGAGTGCTGGACTGTATTTGTTTGCCTTTGGTGTGGAGTTTAGGATTGAACCTAGCTCCTGGCCTAGAGAGGCAAGTGTTTTCATGGAGCTATACTAGCTCTACTACCCTAGCTAGACTTGAAATTAAAGTAGGTGGGGAAAGGTAGATGTAGAAAGTAGAAAAACCAATGAAGGAAGTAGAGCAGTGCTAGTTAACAGTGAGGGTCAGCTGTTTAGTTAGGACTTTTCAAGTGACTGTTACATCTGTGTCTGTGTGTGTACACACCAGATTGAATTTTGAAGTAAATTCATGATTTTTCACTACTTTGGGATAAATGCCTATACAGTAGTTGGTGTGATAGCTTCTAGAAATGACTATAAATCATGAAAGACAATAGTCTGTACTTTCCCAATGAGATAGTATGCACTTTTGACTAAGTTGTATATGGTTTTCTGGCCTGTACAAGTAGAATATAGTGGGTTTACTTTCTTTCTTTTTTTTTTTTTTTAATTTATTTATTAATTGTGTATACAGCATCTGCCTGCATCCCTGCAGGCCAGAAGAGGGCACCAGATCTCATTATAGGTGGTTGTGAGCTACCCATGTGGTTGCTGGGAATTGAACTCAGGACCTCTGGAAGAACAGCCAGTGCTCTTAACCTCTGAGCCATCTCTCAGCCCTTTACTTTCTAATTTTAGTTTAATGAAGATTGTTTCATAGAATTGTATCTCTGTGGCTGATACTACTGTAA